GGGATAGCAACTGTATAGCAACTCATCTCGTACTGTGAAAAAAAAAAACACCTAATTTTCAGGCCTTATGGGCAGTTTTATTTCAAATGTGGTACCCGGACGGAGAGAATCCCATAAGTGTTTATAGTTTCATTGGGCAAAAGTGGACATACGCCAACCTTTTCCTGAGACTATTTTCCAGATCCTGTAGACAATCATGCTTTAACTTTATTTTTATCAAATGATCCATAAACGGGACCAACTCAGAGAACTTTTATATTTTTCCATCTACGTTTGGATGTGCAAGTTGGTATATGAATATTATTTGTTCCATCATTATTTAATAATAATATAATATGCCATTTAGCAGACGCTTTTATCCAAAGCGACTTACAGTCATGCGTGTATACATTTTTTTTTGTGTGTATGGGGTGGTCCCGGGGATCGAACCCACTACCTTGGCGTTACAAGCGCCGTGCTCTACCAGCTGAGCTACAGAGGACCACGGGATAGCTGTAGTAATAGATTATACACACATACAATATTTTTTTCATATCGTCACAGAATCCATATATAACGTACGAATCTTAGGTACTCACATTAATTTACCACTCCATGTGCGTTTCCAACAACTCTCCATCACCACACAGTTTCAGCTGTGCATCCAAACTCTCAGCGGAACCCTTGGACACTACCCCACTGGTCATGGAAAAATGCTCCACACGTATCCTCAACGGCTCTCTAGACTTCCAGAAATTATTAACTTGCCGCTACTGTCTAAAATAACATCCTGCGCTCAATACCACCCTGTGATATTATATGATGGGCAGTGACGGATGGAACCCCAAGATAACGCTTCATATCGAAACTTATTATCCAAATTTATATCAGCTTATTATACACATTTCTATATCTTATTATCCAAACTTCAGATTAACACTTATTTCCACACTCACACAACTCTCATATCACATTCACACAGTACTGTTCCCAAACACATTTAATCAATTAGTTGTTTTCTACAATATTTCTTAATAACCTGCAGGACTATTTTCTAATTTCTATCTCAGGGTTAGTTCCTGGGAAAACGCATACATTTACTGTAATGCATTCTTTAATATTTCTATAGCGCTTTCTCTAGTCCATGCAGGCCTTTCTCTTCTAGGCCTTAACTATTCCTCACAGGGTCTAGTTATACATCCGATACACACAGCTTTGGATGTTCACGTTAAATTATCTGAACTGGTTCACACAGGTTTGGATGCTAACATTAATTTTCATCCGGTACACACAGGGGAATGAGACAGACAAGACGAAAAACTGGTTAGCGCTGTTTTTAGATTTCAAACTCTGTCTATATGAACTGGGTAACCCATACCATTATCAGAATATTGCCTTATTAGTGGTCTCACAACGGGGTGTTGTCGCCACACCGGGATATCACCTACTGCAATTACTGTGGTATAGATTCTCTTATTTCTATCCAAATGTGCAAAACTACCAACAGAGTACCCATGTCTCCTATCTAACTTTGTAACATGGTCCCAAAAATCTAATCTTACCTCGTATTATCTATCCTCCACCACAGGTGAAGTGCCAGGAATAACAAAACACTCACAATAACATCTAACAATAGAAACCCAGGGCATAGCTGTTTACCTCATTTATCAAAACATTACACGTTATAATTTGAACTTCACCAAGCCAGATGCCCTTGCAAGGCGTCACCTGCGCTCTAGTCTCTCGTTCAGTACATTAACCTCACCAGTCCTACAATGATCAACCCAGTACCACGGATCTGGACTTTTGGTTGCCCGCAACTGGCTAATTAACAATTATGTCCAAGGATACCTCACTTAAGAACACTCTTATCAACTCAACTCAGTCCTGCTAGTTACCTCAGCTGTGGCCACCTTAAGGAAGACCTCACTCTGAGCGTACCCTCAACAGGGGCTTCTTATTTTTAGTATAGTTTTATATATATATTTTATTTCATTTTTTGTATCTTTTCATCACTTATTGAAAGATTGTCAAAGCTCAACTCTCTCAGCACTATGTTCGGGATCAGGCATCCATCCACGCCCACTTCTTCTCAGATCTTAGGCGGGTCCAGCTGCTCTATCATGAGTGTGGTTTTCCCTGAGATCCCAATTTCAGATACCCTGTGCACAGTTTACCCAGATCTTCAGGAGCAATATCGATTTAATTATTGCAATAATGAGACTGGTCGACCCAACACTCTTGACTGTTGGGCCAGGAGCCTAACCTTTACAGAAAACGCTGGTTCTTATATAGCTGACACAAAAAATGCTTAGTCATGGCTGGTCCCACCCCTCCCATGCAGATCAGGTGCCATCATAAGCCACCTTGGGTTCATCCTATGGTTATCTGCACCTGGTGTTGTTTCAACCTCCAGCCCAGCTTAGTTTCCCAAATATAAGGATGAGTCTGTGGTTTTAAATACTTAGTTTTTAGCCTTATACAGGGGCTAAGAACTCATGGTTTACAGACCACATCATTCTATTGTAGTAACCTTCCCAAAAAATCCTGGTTGAATGATTCTAGATTTCCTGCTTATTTCCTCCCATTTCCAGGAAGTTTCCAACTGGGATTTCTGGAAACCTTGGAAAATGACCAGAAATTTGCAAGCCTATCTGCAAGTCACATCATGCTGGCTTGCAAAGTGAAGCGTAATTCCTATTGGAATCCAGACAGTTAGAATATCCAACAGTTGGTATTTTTATTCACCCAAAACCTGCATTCAGAATGACTGCCAGGGTTAGGAACATTATCTTCTTCTTCTATGGTTTTATGGCGGTCCGCAAACAAGTGTTAGAGGTGCATGCCGCCACCTACTGTAGGGGTGGTAAACTATAGAAAAATATCCATTGTAGGAAAGGGGAAAAAACAGACATCATACAAAATACAAAAATAGACACATACAAATTGTATAAATTGTCACTTCCTTCAGTCACATTCCAATCAAATCACATCCCTACACAGGCACAGGGGCCTGTGAGGGCGGAACATCCTTTGACAGGATTTTTTGCAATGCCTCGGCTGTAAACTCTGAGATCCAAAATTGTTCTGCTGCACTCTGATTTCTTCTTTGTTTGTGCTGTGCAGTTCATGACCATTGCAATAAATGCTACAAAGTCCATTTTTCATATATCAGGATACCTTGATGACCGAGAAACATTCAGTGGTGCAGGCTCAGTTACCATTGTGTGTTCAATCCCACACGCTCCTTCGACTCTCTTCTCACCGCCTCCAGATTGGAGACATGCTGAACAGCCCTTACTCTTGCCACCTCTGTCTCCTTCACCCTAACAGGGCAATCCGGTAAATCAGGCGCATGTTTGCCACCACTGTTGTAGCATATAATCTCAGCTGGCACACAATATTCTTCCCGTCTCCATAAACTTGATACATAAATATTTTGCATTTATAACACTGAAGGGGCTTGTGCACAAGAGCTCTTATAGGGTATTTTACATTTACATTTTAGTCATTTAGCAGACGCTCTTATCCAGAGCAACTTACAGTTAGTGAATACATATTTCTTTTATTTTTCATACTGGCCCCCCGTGGGAATCGAACCCACAACCCTTGGCATCCAATAAATGTTGCATTACCGCCACCAACTAGACTGGAGTATAACTCCCTTGTACTTTGCTAGGAAAAAAGGAAATAAATCAACAAATAACCTACCATCTAACCCTACACTCATTAAAAACCCACCACCCTACTCCACTATTTAAATCTATCTAGTCCTACCTCAGGCCAACAGCCTGAAAGGACGGGACACCACCACTCAATGCACCCTGTAACTCTTATGACGTCAAATTTCGTACACCCAAATAGTTCTCAGCAGCTGCCACCACAACCTCAATTTTCTGCGACTTATGTTCCATCCCTGCAGTACAGTTGATAACGATTGCTATAAACGCTAAAAATCCAATCTTACTGAGGCATATGTCACTTGTTGGCCTATCCCTCTGTACTGGTACAGATTTACTACTCACATCACTCCTCTCAGGATCCATCCCCTTTGAACCATCTTCCTCTACTTTCTTCACTGCCTCAGCATATGACAACTTCTGCACTACCCTGGTAACCTCAACCTCCCTCTCTCTCACCGGACATTTCTGATCCCCAGCCCCATGCCACCCCTACAGTTAACACATACCACTTATTTCCCCAATGCTACACATACCTTTATCTCATGCCCTTCTGCACACTTCTCACACATTGGAACCTCCCACTACTGCGACATTCCCATAAGCTTGACACCTGGGATAACTGATATGTCCTAACATCACTTTGTCAGGCGAAGACTCAATATCAAAACTCAAAAGAACAGACAACGACTCTTCTGCTTCACCACTCACGCCACAATGTCTGCATCGAACCAAATGACGAGCATCACAAACATCGGGAATCTTACCCTTCAGTTGGTCCACTCTCACATTTACCGCTAACCCAGAATACTTTCAATGGCACCCTTTTCTTGAGCGCAAAATAATTCACATCTCTTGCCCTCATTTATTTGACGCAGAGCTACTGTAGGAACATTATAAAGAGACTACCTAATAAATCTAAACTGAAACAACCATTTCAGTAACAGGTGAAAGAAAATCAAACTAACTGATTGGATTAGATAAATGTATGTTATTTATCTTTGCGCAGCATACGATTAATAAATCAATGTCCATGCAAAAACACAGATATTAAAAACTTAAAAAAAAAAAAAATTTAATCTACCTGCAGTAGAGCATGCTGGAAAATATGATAATTATCATCCCATCAACTCCCCTCCCATCTGTCTCTCCTGACCCTGCAGTCACCATGGAGATGGCCGCTCTGCTACTCCTACTCTGTTACGGTAAGGACTCACTCAACCTATCTAGCAACATCAACCACAACATACTGTACTGTATATACTGTGTCAACAATATCACAAACCTCTCATAATGTATGCTTAATTTGTATGTATTGTATGGATGTTTACATTTTACCCAATGAGATACTTTCTGTCCTCAGGAGTCTGCTGCACAGCCACACTCAGCCGTCTCAGACAGTTCCACATCAGTGAGAATATATTAAATTGGACAGAGGCACGGGACTACTGCCAGAATCACAGTGCTGATATTGCCACTGTCTACAATCAAGAGGAATCTGAGCAGCTGATACAGTTAATTAAATCTAAAGAGAGCTGTAGAGCTTGGATAGGTCTGCGTCGCACAATACCAAGTCTGAAGTGGTCTAATGGAGACACTGTTAATGTCACCGCATGGTCTCTCAGTAACTACACAGAGCCAAACTGTGCAGCATTCATCACTGATAAACTATGGGATCTATGTAGTCAGAATTCTTTTTTCATGTGTTACAAAAAAGGTAATTCATTGCAATTGTTGGTCAATTGTTATTATTATTATGATTATTATTTTTGTTGTTGTACTAAATTGTATGTCTTGGGAAGCAAAGTTTACAGTAGATGTCCATTTTGTTTGTGCAGGAGTCATAGATCCATCCCTTAGATACACTCTGGTGAAGGAGAACATGACCTGGTATGAGGCTCAGAGTTACTGCAGAGAGAATTACACTGACCTGGTCAGCATCAGGAACGAGGTACAGAAGGAGGAAGTGAAGAACAAAGGGATGAACAGCACTACTCCTTACTGGATCGGCCTGCTGTATGATGACTGGGAGTGGTCTGATGGAGGGAGATCTGCCTACAGAGGCTGGGCAAATCCACCAAACGATAATTGCACACAACTTCTGACATATTTCAGTATGCCACAAAAACAAGTAGCTGTGCCATGCAATAATAGCCCAGTGCACTCCCTTTGCCACATGGGTAAGCAGAAAAGTCTATTCCGACCACACATTTAGCATAAAATCTGTCAAAAATCAACCATTTTGCATAGTTCTGAAAATGTCAGAAAAATATTCCTAAAACTTGTCATTTCATTTCACTTCAAGTCAAACACAATGCAAGCTGTCATGCGATCATGCTGGTTTCACCAGGCTATAATGATATTGAACTATTACTGAAATTATGTGCCTGCTTATCTTGCCCCTAAAATCTGAGAGTTAAAATGGGTGCTAAAGTAAATTAATATGAAAATGTTAAATATCTTGAATACCACATTTATGTCTTTCATGATCAGTTCGCATCCACATCAGCAGTGAAAGAATGTATTGGGAGCAGGCTCTGGAGTACTGCAATAATAACCACGATGGACTGCTGCGTATTGAGACAGCAGAAGACCTGGAAGCAATCAAGCAGAAGTTCAAGGGGACTGACTTTACTGGTCCTATGTGGGTGGGTCTGAGACAGAGCCGTCTCTTTGGGTTCTGGGTGTGGACCAATGGGCTGCCAGTGGGATGGAGTAACTGGCATGGAGACAAACAGCCTGAACAGCCTCTGTCCAACCACTGTGGTGCCATGGCAACCGTGGCGGGATACAAGTGGAGTGATCAGGATTGTCTGTCCAAGCGGTTCTTTATTTGTGAAGAATAATTGAAATACATTTCCCACTTGTTAATTTAATGAAATGTCTTTACATTTTCTCACATTTTGATTGATGTGTTTTAGGTAATTGCTGATTGAAATCATATTGACAATTAATTTTTTTATGTTTAACCTTTCAGCATGCAATGCAATGTACAATATACTGTGGCAAGAAAAAGTAGGCGAACCCTTTGGAATTACCTGGATTTCTGCATAAATTGGTCATAACATTTGATCTGATCTTCATCTAAGTCACAACAACAGACAAACACAGTCTGCTTAAACTAATAACACACAATTATACATTTTCATGTCTTTATTGAACACACCGTGTGAACATTCACAGCGCATGGTGGGGAAAGTATGTGAATCCTTGGATTTAATAACTGGTTGACCCTCCTTTGGCAGCAATAACCTCAACCAAATGTTTTCTGTAGTTGGGGATCAGACCTGCACAACGGTCAGGAGGAATTTTGGACCATTCCTCTTTACAAAACTGTTTCAGTTCAGCAATATTCTTGGGATGTCTGGTGTGAACCGCTCTCTTGAGGTCATGTCACAGTATCTCAATCGGGTTCAGGACTCCAGAAGACATATTTTCTTCTGTTGAAGCCATCCTGTTCCATCACACAACTTCTGTTGAGCTTCAATTGGTGGACAGATACCCTTACATTCCCCTGCAAAATGTCTTGATAAACTTGGGAATTCATTTTTCCGTTGATGATAGCAAGCTGTCCAGGCCCTGAGGCAGCCCCAAAAAATGATGCTCCCTCCACCATACTTTATAGTTGGGATGAGGTTTTGATGTTGGTGTGCTGTGTGTTCCTTCCAAACAACTAAACTTTAGTTTAATCTGTCGACAGAATATTTTTGAACAGCCAGGTGCTCTTTTGAGAACTTCAGACGTGTAGCAATGTTTTTTTGGGACAGCAGTTGCTTCTTCCATGGTGTCCTCCCATGAACACCATTCTTGTTTAGTGTTTTACGTATCGTAGACTTGTCAACAGAGATGTTAGCATGTTCCAAAGATTTCTATAAATCTTTAGCTGACACTCTAGGATTCTTCTTAACCTCACTGAGCATTCTGCGCTATGCTCTTGCAGTCATCTTTGCAGGACGGCCACTCCTAGGGAGAGTAGCAACAGTGCTGAACTTTCTCCATTTATAGACAATTTGTCTTACCGTGGACTAATGAACATCAAGGCTTTTAGAGATACTTTTGTAACCCTTTCCAGCTTTATGCAAGTCAACAATTCTTAATCTTAGGTCTTCTGAACTCTCTTTTTGTTCAAGGCATGGTTCACATGAGGCAATGCTTCTTGTGAATAGCAAACTCAAATTGTGTGAGTGTTTTTTATAGGGCAGGGCAGCTCTAACCAACATCTCCAATCTCGTCTCATTGATTGGACTCCAGGTTAGCTGACTCCTGACTCCAATTAGCTTTTGGAGATGTCATTAGCCTAGGGGTTCACATACTTTTTCCAACCTACACTGAGAATGTTTAAATGATGTATTCGATATAGGCAAAAAAAAATACAATCATTTGTGTGTTATTAGTTTAAGCACACTGTGTTTGTCTATTGGTCCTCTGTAGCTCAGCTGGTAGAGCACGGCGCTTGTAACGCCAAGGTAGTGGGTTCGATCCCCGGGACCACCCATACACAAAAATGTATGCACGCATGACTGTAAGTCGCTTTGGATAAAAGCGTCTGCTAAATGGCATATTATTGTTATGACTTGGATGAAGATCAGATCAAATTTTATGACCAATTTATGCAGAAATCCAGCTACAGTGGGGAAAAAAAGTATTTAGTCAGCCACCAATTGTGCAAGTTCTCCCACTTAAAAAGATGAGAGAGGCCTGTAATTTTCATCATAGGTACACGTCAACTATGACAGACAAATTGAGGAAAAAAAATCCAGAAAATAACATTGTAGGATTTTTTATGAATTTATTTGCAAATTATGGTGGAAAATACGTTTTTGGTAATCTACAAACAAGCAAGATTTCTGGCTCTCACAGATCTGTAACTTCTTCTTTAAGAGGCTCCTCTGTCCTCCACTCGTTACCTGTATTAATGGCACCTGTTTGAACTTGTTATCAGTATAAAAGACACCTGTCCACAACCTCAAACAGTCACACTCCAAACTCCACTATGGCCAAGACCAAAGAGCTGTCAAAGGACACCAGAAACAAAATTGTAGACCTGCACCAGGCTGGGAAGACTGAATCTGCAATAGGTAAGCAGCTTGGTTTGAAGAAATCAACTGTGGGAGCAATTATTAGGAAATGGAAGACATACAAGACCACTGATAATCTCCCTCGATCTGGGGCTCCACGCAAGATCTCACCCCGTGGGGTCAAAATGATCACAAGAACAGTGAGCAAAAATCCCAGAACCACACGGGGGGACCTAGTGAATGACCTGCAGAGAGCTGGGACCAAAGTAAAGTAAAGTAACAAAGCCTACCATCAGTAACACACTACGCCGCCAGGGACTCAAATCCTGCAGTGCCAGACGTGTCCCCCTGCTTAAGCCAGTACATGTCCAGGCCCGTCTGAAGTTTGCTAGAGTGCATTTGGATGATCCAGAAGAGGATTGGGAGAATGTCATATGGTCAGATGAAACCAAAATATAACTTTTTGGTAAAAACTCAACTCGTCGTGTTTGGAGGACAAAGAATGCTGAGTTGCATCCAAAGAACACCATACCTACTGTGAAGCATGGGGGTGGAAACATCATGCTTTGGGGCTGTTTTTCTGCAAAGGGACCAGGACGACTGATCCGTGTAAAGGAAAGAATGAATGGGGCCATGTATCGTGAGATTTTGAGTGAAAACCTCCTTCCATCAGCAAGGGCATTGAAGATGAAACGTGGCTGGGTCTTTCAGCATGACAATGATCCCAAACACACCGCCCGGGCAACGAAGGAGTGGCTTCGTAAGAAGCATTTCAAGGTCCTGGAGTGGCCTAGCCAGTCTCCAGATCTCAACCCCATAGAAAATCTTTGGAGGGAGTTGAAAGTCCGTGTTGCCCAGCGACAGCCCCAAAACATCACTGCTCTAGAGGAGATCTGCATGGAGGAATGGGCCAAAATACCAGCAACAGTGTGTGAAAACCTTGTGAAGACTTACAGAAAACGTTTGACCTGTGTCATTGCCAACAAAGGATATATAACAAAGTATTGAGAAACTTTTGTTATTGACCAAATACTTATTTTCCACCATAATTTGCAAATAAATTCATTAAAAATCCTACAATGTGGTTTTCTGGAGAAAAAAAATCTCATTTTGTCTGTCATAGTTGACGTGTACCTATGATGAAAATTACAGGCCTCTCTCATCTTTTTAAGTGGGAGAACTTGCACAATTGGTGGCTGACTAAATACTTTTTTTCCCCACTGTAATTCCAAAGGGTTCACATACTTTTTCATGCCACTGTACCTTGTCATTGATAAAACTTCTTAGCAATACTCTTTGAGTAAAATTGTGTGATATTTCAGATATTTTTAAAATGTTAAACAATAATATATAGATTACATGTCATGTGATTAAAAGATGATATTGTCTAGTCATAATATGATTGCCATTAAGCAAACACTTTTATCCTAGGTTTACTCAGTCATCACTATTGTAAGTATGGGTTACTGTAAATATTGTAAATACCTTTATATTGAATTAATAGTATCATGCATGTTAACGATGACATTATTTTATATAATGAATATTGTAAGCATAATGGAATTACTGAGTTAGTTTTTCTATTGTATCTCTTCTCCCAATTTATGTTATTAATTAACAAAAATAAACTAAACATGAGAAAGAGTTTTTAAGTCTTCTTTTTAACACACACAAACGCAGTAGATGTTGCAACAATATGTCCGTAAGAGACATTACTTGGATGCTTGTATGCCGCCATCTTGTCTATTTCAAGTCTTCTCTCATTGATCGAGACAGGTGGGTGTCCACCCCCAAGTACCGCATGTCATGATGACAGACACCTGTCTCAGTCAATGAGAGAAGGCTTGAAATAGACAAAGATGGCAGTGTGCACATTGTTGGATTACTTCATGGAGAAAAAAAAATATATTTATTTTAATAATGGAGCTTTTTCTCAATTCAAACGGACCCCTGCAACTTTATGAGACTGCAGTTTCAAATAGCAGGCCCTAGTAGGAAAGGGCATTTATACTGAATAAAAATATAAACGCAACATGCAACACTTTCAAAGATTTTACTGAGTTACAGTGCATATAAGGAAATCAGTTAATTAAAATAAATAAATTAGGCCCTAATCTATGGATTTTACATGACTGGGTAGGGATGCAGCCAAAGGTGGGCCTTGGAGGGCATAGGCCCACCCACTTGGCAGCCAGGCGCACCCACTGGGGAGCCAGGCCCAGCCAATCAGAATGAGTTTTTCTCCACAAAAGGGCTTTATTACAAACAGAAATACTTATGCTGTTTAATCAACTTCTTGATATGCCACACCTGTCAGGATGGATTATCTTGGCAAAGGAGAAATGCTCACTAACAGGGATGTAAACAAATGTATACACAAAATTTGAGAGAAATAAGCTTTTTGTGAGTATGGACATTTTCTGGGGTCTTTTATTTCAGCTCATGAATCATGGGACCAACACTATATGTTGTGTTTATATTTTTGTTTGTGGAAAGGGGAGAAGGTAAGGAACTTGTCTGTCGTCCCTCCATTAAATAACAAAATTGGCTAAAGATTGTGATTGATAAAAAAGTATACCAGTTTCATTTAAGTTTGCAAAACAGTTGGGAGAAGAGATTTCTGATGTATCGATTCCATGGCACATGGTTTATGAACTGATAAACAAAACGACGCCGGATTCAAAACTTATTGTTTTCCAATTTAAATTATTATACAAAATGTTGTATATGTTATATATATGGGGGATACAACCATCCCAGCTCTGCAGATTTTGAGGCGAAGAGACAGAATCATTAGATCACTTGTTTTGGTACTGCCCATATGTAGC